CCTCAAATTCGTATGTTGAAGTCCTAATCCAACATGATGGTATTTGGGGATGGAGTTTGTGGGAGATAATTAGGTTTAGATGATGTTATGAGGGTGGGGCTCCTGTGATGGCATTACTGCCCTTATAAGAAGAGACACCATACAGAGCTTGCTTTTGCACAAGAAGGTAGCCTTCTGAAAGCCAGGAAGAGAACTCTCGCCAGAATCCACCATGCTGGCACCCTGATCTTGGCCATCCCCACCTCCAGAACTGTGAAAAATAAATTTCTGCTATTGCAGCTACGCAGTCCATGGTATTTTGCTACGGCAGCCCATCTGGTATTTTGTTATGGCAAACTAAGACACATGTATATTGAGTGAAGCAATGAATGGCCATGGGTTTGCAATAGTCTAGGCTGAAAATGTGTGATAAGTAACTTCAGAATCATAAAGGATGAGTGGAATATAGGCACTAGTTTTTATCTGGAGTTCTAAAATAGCCTACCTTTGTCCACTTATAACCTCACCTGTCTCAGTTCCATGCTTCCCATGGTGCCAGGCTGTCTCACAAGTGGCATGTGCCATATGTGGCACATTTGACCAGGGCTACAGACAGATGATCCCCTGTCTAAAAACATCCTGTTTCTGTGGTTTGTCAGATGATCATCACATGGAGAAAGCATCCTCTTGTCAACATTTTGGAGTTTGGCTCTTTTAGCAATGTATCTCAAACCTGCCAGAAGTAAAAGGCAGTGGCTGAACTTTTCCTTTTTTTATTTCTTCAAAGATCTTTACACTGAATCTCCTGTAAATAGAAAGTTTTATATAAAGGATATGTCTCTTATGAAGTCAGATAACAGCTATCTTTTGAGTATAGTTTTAAACCAAGAACTGCTCATGTATAGATAATTTAGATTTAAGAGCATAGTTACACTAGTTTAACATAACACATTATTAAACATATTTAGGAAAAGAAATGATTGTATACTTTCTTGCCCTTGGTATCTAACTTGAAAGAGTTTACAATAAGCATGATGTAACAACTTTTTTCTGTTATTCCAGTCTTTACTCTCTTCTTTCTCACAAAAATTCAAAGTTGAAACACACACACACATATTCAGTAAAATAAGAAATACTTAAAGTGTCATCACTTAATATTTCTAATTCTCACCACCTAATTGGGGAAATGCTGCTTTGTTTCTAGCAATGCGAGCTTGAAGAGAAGAGAAAATGAAAAGATTACTTTCTATCTCTAATCTTGTACTGTGATTAAACACTGTGAGGAGCTTTACCTTGACCTATAAATTCTCTCCTCTGATACAGAAGTCTGTTGCAAGAGTTTCTTTTAGTTTTTGTTCCCTAATGACACCATTTGTATTTCCTGGAGAGGACATTATGAAAATATTCCCCAGTATTAAGGGTTATTAATATCCCTACTCTTTTGTTCCCAGCTGGGTCTGAGTGCAGGAACATCTCTAATGGAGGACTTTTCTTCTCAAGTACAGGCATCTCAAGTGTTCAGAATTTCTGATGTATAAGAATTTTTTATATTAATATCTACTTCAAATGTTATCACCCTTATCTTCAGGCAATTTCCTTGTCTACATGGAAATTTAGAATAATTTCCTTCCTCCATTACATTTTGTTCCTTGAAGGTATTTTATAATCGGAGTACATGTTCCTCTCTCTTTTGAGGTTTCCTTGTTTCAGGCAAAATATGTTAAGTCTCTCTAGCCTAACCCTCTGAATCTTATGTTATGCCACTTGTCTCTTGTATATGCGTGGTGTGGAGATAAGAAAGGAACATCATATCTAAGTTGGAAAGCCAGGGATATAAACCAGGCTATAGTTTTCTTCATTCTATCCTGTGTCCAGTTTCTTTTTCTTTTTTTTTTTTTAAGTTTATTTATTTATTTTGAGAGACACAGGGACAGCGTGAACAGAGGAGGAATATAGAGAAAGGGAAAGAGAATCTCAAGCAGACTCCATGCTGTCAGCACAGAGCCCAATGCAGGACTCAAACTCATGAACTGTTTGATCATTACCTAAGCCAAAACCTGAGTCAGACACTTAACCACCTGAGCCACCCAGGCACCCCCACTGCATCTAACTTCTAAAATTCTTTTAATGTATGAATAAAAATTTGGAAATTTAGATGCAGTAAATGTTATAATAAATAGACCATTGAAATCTTATGTATGTGATTCAAACCTTCGTATAAAAACAGCCAAATCCCTACCTGTTAGACTTATTCTTGTTGTCCTTATAAATGTTTATTTGACCTGTTACTTGATATAACAAGGCCCATAAATGTCTCACAAGTCTTGTGTTACCCAAGAGAGATCTTCCATTTTAACTTTTTTACTTTACTATGTGTGCTTTTACTTCTTTTTCAAAGCCTCCATCTCTGTTTTTACTTGTATCATCACACTCCGATTTGAAATTTTAACATACCTCTTGGAAATATGTTTAATGTGGATTCATAAACATTCACTTATTATTATTAAAGAAGAAAAAAACAAGAAAAAGCAGGTTTATTAGGTTGTTTAGATTATAGACAGTATAATAGTATGTACTCAGGCTAACGTAATTCTTAAACAGTTTTTAATTATTTATTAATTTCAGTGGTCCATAGGCTTGGTTTTTCTTATTATCTCACACATTTGATTTTTTAAAAGTAATTGTGCCCAGAAAGATTTTTTTGTAGATATAGGCAATATTATTCTAGAACTTTATGGAAAAGCAAAAAACTTAGAATAGTTTAAACAGTTGCAGAAACAAAATATAAGAATCATTATACCCAATATTAAGGCCTACTATATATTTACAGTAATCAAGTTGGAGTGCTATTAGATAGTGGAAAGATACAGAGATAAATGGGACAGAATAGAGAATCCAGGAATTGATCCACACAAAATACCCAACTGATTTTTAACAAAATTGCAAAAGCAATTCAATGAAAAAAATTAAACATTCACAGGCAAAAAATAATAATAATAATAATAAAACCTCAACCTAAATTTCATACCTTATACAAAAATTGATTCAAATGATCATGGACTTACGTGTAATATGTAAGGCTATACAACTTTTGCAAACAAATTTTAAAAACATAAGGAAAAATCTTTGGGACCTAGAGCTAAGCAAAGAAGTCTTAGACTTGACTCCAAACACATGATTCCTAAAAGGAAAATCTACAGATTAGACTTAATCAGTAAAAAGCTACAAAGTGGGAGGAAATATTTGCAAAATATACACCCAACAAAGGATAGTATCTAGAATATATAGGGGCACCTGAGTGGCTCAGTGGGTTAAGTGGCCAACTTCAGCTCAGGTCACGATCTTGCGGTTCGTGGGTTCAAGCCCTGAGTCAGGCTCTGTGGGGATAGGTCAAAGCCTGGAACCTGCTTCAGATTCTGTGTCTCCCTCTCTCTCTGCCCCTCCCTCACTTGCATTCTGTCTCTCTCTCAAAAATAAACATTAAAAGAACTTTTTTTAAAAAACTGGAATATATAAAGAACTCTCAAAACTCAACAATCAAAAATCCAACAACTCAATTAGAAAATGAGATAAAGACATGAAGAGCCATTTCATCTGAGAGGGTATAAAGATAACGACTAGGCACATTAAAAAATATTCAACACCATTAGTTATTAGCAAAATGCAAATTATTGGGGCACCTGGGTGGCTCAGTCGGTTGAGCATCCTACTTCAGCTCAGATCATGATCTGCCGTTCGTGAGTTCAAGCCCCACATCAGCCTCACTGCTTCAAGCCCCACAGCAGTCTCACTGCTGTCAGCATGTCAGCACAGAGCTCACTTCAGATCCCCTGTCCCCCTCTCTCTGCCTCTCCCCCACTTGTACCCTCCAAAAAAAAAAAATAAATAATTTTTAAAGAAGAAAACTGCAAATTATAAACTCAGTAAAGCTACTACCACTCACCTATTAGAATGACTAAAGTTAAAAAATGGTGACAACATTAGATGCTGGTTAGGACGCAGAGAAACTGCATGACCTATATATTTCTGGTGGGAATATAAATGGTATGTAGCCATTCTGACAAGCATTTTAGTAATTTCTTTTAAAACTATGCAGTCAGTGATTACACTCCTGGGCATTTACCTCAGAGCAGTGAACACTTATGTTATATATACAGCAGCCTTTTTTGGAATAGCCATAAAACTGGAAACAGCCCAGATGTCCTTCACCAGATAGATGACTAAACAAACTATGGCACATCCATACCATGGAATACTACTCAACAATAAAAAGGAACAAACTTCTGATATGTTCAGAAACCTGGAGGAATATCCAGAGAATTATTCTGAGTGAAAAAGGCCAATTCCAAAAAAACTACACACTTCATGATTCCATTTGATTCTTGAAATGGCAAAGTTATAGAAATGGAGATTTGATTACTGGTTGCCAGAAGTTAAGGAGGGAGTGTGTGGGAGGGAAGTAGATGTGGTTATAAAAGGGCAACATGAGGGATGTTAGTGTGCTGGGAATGTGCCTTATCTTGACCCGAATCAACATCAAAATTCTGGTTGTGATATTGTACTTGTTTAGCAAGATGTTTTCATTGGGGAGAAAGTGGGAGAGAGCACACGATAAGCGTCTATTCTCAGGACAGCATGTGAATCTATAGTTATCTCAAAAAGTTTAATTTAGGGGCGCCTGGGTGGCGCAGTCGGTTAAGCGTCCGACTTCAGCCAGGTCACGATCTCGCGGCCCGGTCCGTGACTTCGAGCCCCGCGTCGGGCTCTGGGCTGATGGCTCAGAGCCTGGAGCCTGTTTCCGATTCTGTGTCTCCCTCTCTCTCTGCCCCTCCCCCGTTCATGCTCTGTCTCTCTCTGTCCCAAAAATAAATAAACGTTGAAAAAAAAATTTAAAAAAAAAAGTTTAATTTAAAAAAGTAATTGTGTTTGTTAGAAAATCAAAAAGATAAATTTAGTAAAATGAGAATGAGTTTCATGCAGATGTTCATTTTCTCTTATGCTTTCTTGGTTCCTCCCATAAGGTTTGAGAGGAGCAATAGCATTTGCCCTAGCTATTCGGGACACAGAATCTCAGCCCAAACAAATGATGTTTACCACCACGCTGCTCCTTGTGTTCTTCACAGTCTGGGTATTTGGAGGAGGAACAACCCCCATGCTGACTTGGCTTCAGATCAGGTGAGTGGCTCCATTCAGCAAAGGATGTCACTACGAGGCATGGCTTCACTGTCTCATTTGTGGTGTTGCTGATTTGGTCAGGAGTACAATGGCAGGTCTGTATGTTAACTTTCCCTAGGGTAAAGTTGACTTTCATTCACAAGGTGAAACAGTCTGTCCTCTCCTAGACCTATTACCAACTGAACTGACTTTTCTAAGAGTCCTAGAATTCTCAGGGTGATGTCTGCTTACAGTCTGTCTCTAGAAAGGAATTTATTTATCTATGAATTCTTCCATTCAGCAGTATTTATTGAAGACAATGTAGTATTCTCTGAAGTACAAAAATGAGAAATACACAGGTCTTGTTCTCAAGATATTCACAATTCAATAGGATTTATACAGAAAAACTGTAATACCAAGGAGAAAGTATATTTGTTTTGTTTTTAATTCTTCAAAGCACTTAGGATAGAATTGGGGACACAGGAAATACTTAAATATATTTGATTAGTGAACCATATGTTTAGTCAGAGGGATCCTATGTAGACACAAATTAGATGGTTTCTCAAAGGAAAAGGCAATGAAGCTTCAGTCACAGACCCTCCAAGAAGTGCCTGGAAGAAGATCGCTATAAACCTAAAGTATATAGATAGTGGATGGGTAGTGGCATCCACTGATTTGTTGATAGTAGATAGTGGCATCCATTGATAGGTGAGGAGTCTGGAGGTCAGCTTAGGCCCAGCATCATTATGGCCTCCTGGGTGGCACAGCATGGAGTTGTCAGATCATGGAGATGACCCAGAGGGAATTAACTACAACTGATTCCAGGCCAGACTTGGCCACCATGAGGCGAGCGTTGGTTAAAGGCAGGGCTGTGATGTATTTAGGGAGCTGACAGGGCTCTGGTATAGTAGACAAGGTTGAAATTTGATTAAAATGAATAGCTTGTGCCAATTGTAAAAATGATAAATCTATTTTAAAATGTTATTGTCTTTATTTAAGTATATTTTTGACCTAGGTTCTGTTATATCCTGTCATATCCCAGGATGTAACAGTGCTTTAGGTAAATCACATTTTATTTCTCGATGCTGTATATCTTGATGATCATGCAAACCCTCCCTGGTCCTTACCCAGTCTCTATAAGGCAATTCCATACAGTCACATCTAATAGGAAAAGATCCATCTGACTATCAAATGACTTCCAAGAAGATTATTCTTATTCTAGCACCAATACAGTATTAAATAAATAATTGCTACATGAAACATTAAATGAATATAACCACAATGTAAATTACCTTTTGTTAAGCACTTACTGATAATTTTCTATCCATTTGACAAAGAGGAAGCAGAAACAGGACTCAGAGTTTTAGTACAAGAGAGCTTAGGCTTAAACTGGGCCAAGTGGCCATGCATTAAAACAAATTCAAGGAAATAAAAAACTTCTTGAAGTAAGTATTGTGACTATTGCTAAACACATAAAAGGGCTTTGACCAAAGGTGAATGGAGAGTGTTTTGAAATGCTTGTTGAATTATTTTCTAGGCATATAAATGTGACCTGCAATTTCCTTCACAGTAGTAGCTACCTGTAGGCTCCTATGGATGAGCACACATATTGCATTAAACTCTACAGCACTGGGTCCCCTGTGAACTGTTAGCAAGATAGTGGTGTGTTCAGGTTTCTAGAAAATAAATTTAAGTAGGTGGATCCAGGCATGGAAATATTAGGGCTTGGAAAAGAAAAGTTAGAGGATACTAATCTCCACAAGATAAAAGTATTAACTACCCCATCAGGTAAATTAGAATAATTAGAACATGAAGTAGTGATATCAACATTTTCCTAAAGTAATTCAAATGTAACTTATTTTCTAATGTTGTCTTTCTTTACCCTGAAGAAATCATCCCTAAATCAGGAGCATGTTTTATCCCTAAAGTGTTTACCTAACTCTCCTATAGTGTTTTCCAAAGGTATCCATTGATTTTGAATAGATGTCATAGCTTATGCACTCTCTTGATATCCAGAACATCAGGGAGAGGGGAGTTTAATAATGGGTCTTTAGGCAGATTAGAATGGTTACCGAGGTTATATACAACAGAGCCTCATAAGGAAGGATCGTGATGTCAACCATAGCATCCACAGGTGAGGGGCCTGGAGGTCAGCTTAAGCCAGCATTATTATGGCCTGCTGGGGGGCACAGCATGCGGTCAGATCATGGAGAAGCCCCAGAGGGAATTAGCTCCAAACGGCCCAATTCAAGGCCAGATTTGGCCACCGGCCAGGTGGAGAGGGTTATAGGGAGGGCTGTGATGTATTTAGGGAAAGAAACTGGCAGGGCTTCAGTATAATAGGAAAGGTGGAAATCTCAGCTGGGAACTAGACTGTTAAATCTGGAATTGGCAGAAATCCAGCCAGAGAGATCAGAGGTGCAGTCATGAGGAAATCAAAGAAGGAAAACCGAAATTCATACATATGTGAGTACCCAGGAAGTCAACCCAGGGACAGGATACAACAAGACCAAGATGAGACTCTCAAATTTGAGTGAGTATCAGAATCACCCAGAGGACTCATTAACCCCCAGATTTCTGACCTAATATGTCTGGACCAGGGCCTAAGAATTTGCATTTTACCATATTCTAGGCAATGCTAATGCTGCTGGTTCCAAGGTCACATCTTGAGAACCACTGATTTAGACTTCCTAACCCCAAGTGAAGATGAGGCTGATAATAAATATTGCCAGATTTGACTGGGGTTGCCCAGGGCCAGGCACACCTAAGCCTTCGGTTTAAACTCTTTACACCTGTACTGGAGGAAGGCCGGGGATAACTTGAGAAGGAAGAGTCACAGTGCATTGACTAGTGGGAGGGAAATAGAATATAATATAATAAACATTAAAGAATAGGAACATAAGTTAATGCGTGTACAAATGGACACACAAGTATAACATAGATTTGGTTCAGTCATGTGTTAGTGATACCATCATCATACGCTTCACTTCCCTGTTATGATTTACAATGTTATCAAAGAAATCTTCAGTTCCATCATAGCTTTTAAATGATAGTGGTCCATTATTTAGACTGTATTTTTCAAAGCTTTGCTTGTTTACAGAGCAACGTCTCATTAACCAACTTTCGTGTCAGACTTTTTCCATAAAATACCAGAATGTAAGTAAATTGGAGCTTTGATAAAATGACAAGAATGGAAAGCCCAAGAAGCAGGAATGCAAATGTGATATTGAATACACTCAGACATCCTCATTTGGTATATAATGTATTTATACACTTCACATTACCTTTCTCTCTTGATTTCCTTTAATTCTACATCTTTTCTTTTAAATTATTAGGTATGTACTTGAGTTAGTTTTTACCCCTATAAAATTTTCCATTTAGCCTCAAACTACCACAGTAGGATGCAGATAAAATGTTTTATATCAGGTAACAATTGATAGTATTAATATGAATTGCACTTTGATGGAAATGACTTCAAAACAGCAAGGATCCTGTGCTTAGAGAAATTCAGAATGATCTTTATATATGAAACAAATTCTTCATAAAGTCTTGTCTTAAGCACATTCAAACTTCTTGTCCTAAAGCTATTTTATTTTCCGTTAAAAAACAATAAAATATTCTTAATGCAGTATTTGAAATAAATCACAGAACTTTGTTTCTCAAAATTCAAAAGAAAAAGAATAGACTCCTGCAGGATTATTTTGGAGGTTTCCATGTAAAAGAAAGAAGAATAGTTTCTTGACTAGAATCCAGATCTCCTCCTTTTTGCAGAATACATTAACATTGGTGGTGAGGAAAACCCAACCCTCAGACTCCAAGGATTAGCTTTGCTGTTAGCCAGGAAACAAAAGAGATCAAACGTATCAGGCTTTGCCCTACAGAAGCCAGTAAACAGGATTATCCACCAAATGACCACACATGTAGCTTACAAATAAAACCTCGGAGACCAACAGGGCAGAACTCTCTGGCAGTAGTAACTGTTTTGGGTTGGTAGCCCCATCCTAGGTTTAGGGTATGGCACTAACAAAGCACAAGATAATGGAACCTATACCCCAGTGCAAACCTTTCCTGGGCTCCCCCCATATAGGAATGCTTCCAAATATCTCAACCACAGTACAGAAAGCTTTATACACACCAGAGCAATACAGAACTTGTATTCCAGACAGCATTAGAAAGTGCCCTCAGCAAGGTGATTTCTACAGCTTCCAGATATTGGCTGCTAACATTCCAAACAATAATAGTCAGCTTTTATTGAGTACTTAATCTATGCCAGATACTATTTAACAAAATGCAAGTCATATAACCTCCCTGTGGCTCAGTTTTTGATGTATAAAATGGGATAATAATAGTAGCTACCTCCGAGGGTGAGTAAGTCCTGGCAAACTGGCCTAGGGTTGGGCTGTTGGGTTGCAGAGCCAGACGCCAGGCCAGGCAGCCTAAGCCCAAGGCCTGTATGCTCAAGTAGCATATTCTTCTCTGGCCCTAAATAAATTAGCTTATTCCTGATGCCTGCAATCTGCCTTGATTAACAGGTCCTCTGGGGAAAAAGAGATGTGCTTTTATAACCAAGACAGGCCTGTTAAAAACAAACACAGGAAATCTTCATCCATCATGAGTGTGTTGACTTGCTTATGCAGCACAGAAATTTCTTGGTGCAGATTTTCTCTTTGACCTAGAACACTTAAAGGTAAACAAGGTTAAACCCTGGTCCAAAGTAGCCAAGTGAGGAAGCTTGTCTTCCTCAACTATAGGAATTTGGAATTGTAGGAATTTGTCACCTATCTCCCAACCCCATCCAGGATCCCAAGTCAGCCTTTTGTCAGCCTCTTCCACATATCACACAAAAAATTAACACACTAACCTGTGTCCCTTGCAGAGTAAATAACAGCACAATGTCTACACTATTATTATTTTTGTTAAAATTTTAACTTATATTTTTGGTTTATGACCCATCCCATTTTATGCCATGCTAGAATGCTTTCTTTATCATTTATACCCGCTAACTATAAAATTTTTAATAA